GGAAACTGACGACTGAATGATAAACCTGGTCCTGACATGTGGGTGGAAGCTCTCATTGACACATCTCAGCAGCAGAAACTGTCAAATTCAGAGACTTGTTCTGTTGTGTTTCAGCAAATATCCCCGAAATGTCAGAATCCAGCAGCATGAAAGAAAAAGACAAAGAAGAACGTGTTGCTTTAGCGTTTTCTGGCCTTAACAACCCCACCAATGTGTGTGTGTGTGTGTGTGTGTGTTGTGTTTCAGGTGGTGGTGTGTGTGTCTGCGGGCTACAGACACAGCGCTGCAGTCAGTGAGGATGGAGAGCTGTACACGTGGGGCGAAGGAGACTTTGGGAGACTAGGTAGGCTGCAGAGCTCCACAGCAGCTGGACGTATGGACGGTTTTCATTTACTGCTCCATTGTTTCAGTGCATCAGAGCTTCTACACAAAACAGGAAGCTGGTTTCTGATGGTTTATTCTGCTCCTCATTCTGCTCTCTGGCTCCTCCCTTCTTTTAGTGTGTCACAATTACAACTTTATGTCATTTTGAACATATTTAGAGTCATTCTGGATGAACTTTAAGTGATTTTGATCAATTCTTGAATCATTCTGTACAAATTTTTGGGTTCATTTTGGGGTTTTTTTGCCATTTTGAGCAAATTTAGGCAACTTTTAAGTCATTTTGGGTAATTTTTTTTGAGCCATTTTGTACAATGTTTAAGTCATTTTCACATTTTTTTGAGTGATTATAGACAATTTGTCATTTTGAAAACATTTGAAGTCATTTAGGTCACAATCTCTGACACATTTGAAGTCATTTTGAAAATTTTTTTGGATATTTTTTTGTCATTTTGGACAGTTTTTGACACTTTCTTAACAGATTGTAAGTCTTTAAACTAAATTTTCAGTCATTTTAAACACCTTTAAAGTCATTTAGACAAGTTTTGAATCAATTTCAACATTTTTTTTTTTTGCCTCTTTGAACACATTTCAAGTCAATTTAGGCAATTTATAAGTCATCTTGGATCATTTTTGAATCATTGTGTATGAAAATTTAGTTTCTTTGGACAATATTTGACTAATTTCAGGTAACAGACCCCCAAAATGCAATTCTGATGAGCACAATATGAATTTTTTAACAAATAAATCAGGTGGTTCAGTGATGCTCCAACAGTTGTGATCTGTAGTTCTACGACTCAACATCATTCGATCAACGTGTGTTTTCTCACTTTTCGCTGTTAATCAGAGTTTTTTTCCGACTCGCCTGCTGCTCCCTGAAATTCTTGACCTACTTCTAAACGGTTCCAACAAGTTCCATCAGAGTGCTGACATTTATCTAAACTCCATGATTCTACCTGCAGCTCCGTCAGAGTGACAGATCTTCTGCAGGGCTCGCTGAGGCCCAGATACAGGCTGTCAGGATGAAGATGTTCTCACATATTAAAGCAGGAGAACGTTTTCCAACAGACCCCAAAAGTAAAATGAGAAACCAGTAAATCTGCAAAAGATCAGGCTCCTGAACTTTGCACCACGTTTTAGGTTCTGGTGTCACACAAAAGACTTCACTGATTTCCTGTAAATGTTCTGCCACCTCTAAAAAAGAAAAGTTAAACCCTGTTAAGGTGTAAGTTTCCCCCCGATGACAACACTGAGGTGAGCTTTAAACAAGGACAGAGAAGCTTCAGGACCTTCTGCAGGACAAAGTGTTTAAACGTCTTCACACTGAACACTCTGACGTTGGTGCTTGTTTCTGTGAGCTCAGGTCACGGCGACAGCAACAGCAGAAACATTCCTACTCTGGTCAAAGACATCAGCAACGTCGGAGAAGTTTCCTGTGGAAGTTCTCACACCATCGCTCTGTCCAAGGACGGACGCACCGTCTGGTCCTTCGGAGGAGGAGACAACGGTGCGTTAAACCCAAATTAACAGTGAAAACTAAATATTTATGTGTGCAAAATGCATCTCCAGGTTTGTGCATCTGTACAATCCACCAACGAATTCTATAGTTTTCCTTTAATTTTACTCGTCCGTGTGTCGTCCTGCAGGAAAACTGGGTCACGGTGACACGAACCGAGTCTACAAGCCCAAGGTGGTGGAGGCCCTGCAGGGCATGTTCATCAGGAAGGTGTGCGCAGGCAGCCAGTCGTCTCTGGCCCTCACCTCCACAGGACAGGTAGGAGTCATCCACCTGTACGCACACCAACACCTTAACCTTAACAGGACAGGTAGGAGTCATCCACCTGTAGACACACTCTAACCTTAACAGGACAGGTAGGAGTCATCTACCTGTAAACACACCTTAACCTGATCAGGACAGGTAGGAATCATCCACCTGTAGACACACTTTAACCTAAACAGGACAGGTAGGAGTCATCCACCTGTAAACACACTTTAACCTAAACAGGACAGGTAGGAGTCATCCACCTGTAGACACACTTTAACCTGATCAGGACAGGTAGGAGTCATTCACCTGTACGCACACCAACACCTGAACAGGACAGGTAGGAGTCATCCACCTGTACGCACACCAACACCTGAACAGGACAGGTAGGAGTCATCCACCTGTAGACACACTTTAGCCTGATCAGGACAGGTAGGAGTCATCCACCTGTAAACACACCAACACCTTAACCTTAACAGGACAGGTAGGAGTCATCCACCTGTAAACACACAATTTTGGACAATTCTTTTGCACAATAGTTTTAATGAAACGTGTAGAAACAGTGATTTTGGTGATTTTTTAAAGATAGCATTCCTTTTTAACAGGTTTTGGGTGTCTGTCGGCTAAAGTTTGTCCCTCCAGACCAAACCCGGGTCTGACATTAAACACTTTACGGCGTCAGTAACAGAACGTGTTCGCTAACAGTGAACGCTGCTGTTTCCAGGTGTACGCTTGGGGCTGCGGCGCTTGTCTCGGCTGTGGATCATCGGAGGCCACGGCTCTCAGACCCAAACTGATCGAGGAGCTGGCGACCACCAGGGTGGTGGACATCTCCATCGGGGACAGCCACTGTCTGGCTCTGTCTCACGGTCAGTCCTGCCTTCATTTATGTTTACCGGAAGCAGCTGCAGAGCGTCTGCGTGCTGTCGGTTGTTCTGCTGAAGATCCCAAAAACATTTTCTAGTTGAACCCTAAAGTAAAATAAGAAACCTGTAAATATGCAGAATATGTTAAACTATCAGCAGCACATTTATAATCTGGTGCCTTTTTCTGCATGTAAAAGTTCTGCAGGCTTCAGTTGGAGTCAAATTATAAGTACATTTTTAGAGTTTCTGAGTCAATTTGCACTCTTTTGTCATTTTAGACAAATTTTATTTTAGTCATTACTTTACGCTTTGGCTTGTTTGTTTTCTGTAATATTACTAAATATTATCTTTATCTATTTTTATCTATTTAACAAAGTTAGTAAAATCTGTAAAATCACATTATATAGAATTTGTTTTGCAAATATTGGCAGATATCTGTAAAACAACTCTATTTTTTAAATAAAATAAAAATATTTTAATAGTTTAATGAAATTGGCAAAATCTGTAAAATAAAATTGGCAAAAAGATTTACCATTTCCAACCCTTTATATACATATTTTTCCTAAAAACAAAATATAAATATATGTAAAACAACAACACTTTTCACTAGTTTAAATATAGTAGTAAATATTTAGCACATTATTTACAGTTTTGACCTGTTTTTATTTTGTTTTGTTTTTTTGTAAAAATACCTTTTTCTGTGACTTTGCTCGTTATTATCTGTAATTTCACAAAACAGGGAAGAAAACATAGAATAACAGTTTACAGCAAATATTTTAAAACAAGCACAGTTACAGTAATAAATCCTATTTCCTCAGTTATTTACTGGATGATATGTGTGATGTAGATAACGGAGGTGAATGTGTGTGAGTGCTGCTGTGGGTGGAGGCCGGCTGCAAACTGCTGCTGCAGAACATTTACGTGCCGCCGGCGCTACGGTTTGTTATTCTGCTGATTCAGCCGGATTCAGAGTCGAGCTGTCGCAGGTCAGAGTGATGTAACAGCAAACACGTCGAGCAAATTTGTTCAGCCCGTTACTCAACCCCCTGAGGCCCGACACGGATCACGCTCGTCATCCTGCCCTCCTTTCATTCTGGTATCTGGTGCTTCTGCTGCAGATAATGAGGTGTACGCGTGGGGCAACAACTCCATGGGCCAGTGCGGCCAGGGCAACTCCACCGGACCCATCACCAAGCCCAAGAAGGTGGTCGGCCTGGACGGCGTGGCCATCCAGCAGATCTCGGCCGGGACCTCCCACAGCCTGGCCTGGACCGCCCTGCCCAGAGACAGGTGGGTTCGAGCCGGCCGCAGGTGTTCTGAGGCCGAAGGTCGGCGCTGATGGCACAACACGCCTAAATGCAGCGTTGTGCAACAGAAGTCAAAGGGCAGAACGTGTAGGAGAAGCCTGCTGCAGGTTCTGTTGACCCGGTGTTCAGAACCAGAGGAAAGGTGAAAGTATTTATAGATCAGCAGACAAACCGCAGTTTATTTTAGATAAAAGCAGCACGTGGTGTGTTTACCGGAGCTGCTCGGATGCCTGTTATTTTCCATCAACAGAAGTCTGATGGGACGTAATTGACTCTTTTTATTTAAACTTTATTAAGACACAGAGTTCATGACACCTGTACGCAGCAACATCAGTGATGGAAAGGAAAGAAACTTAAAAAAAGATGTTTTTGCAAAAAGAAATCAGTTGTATGCAAATATTTTGATCACAGAGAGTAAAAAAGCAGGTTTTCTGTTTAACTGTGTAAATTAGCAGCACAAGGGGCGCCGCTATCCCTCGCCTGGCTGAGCTGGCGTCCCACGTACAGGGGATCTAGTCCCAGATGCAGCGGTCGTGGGTTCGAGTCCCACTCATGACCCTTTGCTGCTGGTCCTTCCCTCATTCCTCTCCCCCATTTTCCCGTCTTTCTCTCTCTGTCCTATTTAATAAAGCCAAACAAATGCAGCGTTGGTTGACGTTTTCTCGTCTGGTCTCTTCAGGCAGGTGGTGGCCTGGCACCGGCCGTACTGCGTGGACCTGGAGGAGAGCACCTTCTCTCACCTGCGCTCCTTCCTCGAGCGCTACTGCGACGGCATCAACAGCGAGGTTCCTCCGCTGCCCTTCCCCTCGTCCAGGTGACGACACTGTTAATAGACTCACCTGTAAAAAAACAAAACAAACAAACATCTGGCAGCACCGGAGCCACAAACATATGTTCTGTCAAGACCAGAAACTTCAAAAAAAATGGTGAAAATAACAGCAAAAAATTGTTCAATAAATAATTAGTTAACTGATTTAAATACAGTGAAATGGTGGAATTTAATGGCAGCACACTGTAAAAAAAGACAAAAACAAACCACTGTTTGTAAAAATCCAGATGTTTGATGTTATTTTCAGTTTTAGCCTCTTTTCTTCACAGTTAACCTGTAAATTATTTAATCCTATTTTCAGTGATTTTATTACTTAAAAATAACGGTTTTTCAAATTATGGCAAACATCTGAAAAAAAACTTTTTTTTTTTTTAAATTCACAATTTATAAACAACAGCAAATATCTGTGACACAACTGTATGTTTTGCTAATTTAAATACAATATAAGAAATAGTCAAATGTTGTAGTCAAAACGCTCCAGCTGAAGTCCTGAAGCGTCTTCTCTGTACCAGGATCAATGAAGTGAATGACTAATGCCATGTGTCTGCAGGGAGCATCACAACTTCCTGAAGCTGTGCCTTCGCCTCCTGTCCAATCACCTGGCTCTGGCCCTGGCGGGGGGCGTGGCCACCAGCATCCTGGGGCGCCAGGCCAGGCCTCTGAGGAACCTGCTGTTCAGGCTGATGGACTCCTCGGTGCCTGACGAGATCCAGGAGGTGAGACCGGGAGGAAAATACCAAAGAGTCAGACAGATTTAGTGATTTCATTTTATTTATTTACCTTTAGCAGAAACATGTCGATGAGCACATTACTTCCTAACCTGAACACCTTCAGACTCTTCAGATGAAGCTGTTTTACCTCCCGGTGCTGATGTTTGTGTCTTCGCCAGGCGGTGATCGAGACCCTGTCGGTGGGAGCCACCATGCTGCTGCCTCCGCTGAGGGAGAGGATGGAGCTGCTTCACTCTCTGCTGCCTCAAGGCCCCGACCGCTGGGAGAGTCTCTCCAAAGGACAGGTAGCCCACACCTGGCGCTCAGAGCCACAGTCTGAAACACCTGAGGGGGAAGAGTCCACCGTACAGTTGGCCTCATTCAGAGTCTGAGAAATACAAGCAGCAGGAAAAGTAGAAATGTGTCCTAGAGATATAAACGTTAGGAGAAAAGTAGACGCATCAAACAGAATAATGGACAGGGAACTTGGAAAAGAGAAATATGTCGTATAATAGTAAGTACAAGTATATGATGTAATAAATAATAGAGTTCTGGTTGGTTGGTTGATTGTTAGTTGGTGGGTTTGGATCATGGTTGGTTGGTTGGTTGGGAGGTTGGTTTGTTGGCTGGCTGGTTGATTGTTTGTTTGGTGGTTGGTTGGATGGTTGGATGGATGTCAGAGCTACAGACTCCAACAGGCAGAACTCTATTTAGGATTTGGAAAAAAAGTGCATCATGGACACATCAGACGCCTCTCACAGTGATGAAACGTTGCAACACAATGATCTTCTGAAGTCCTGTTAACAGAACTGATAACGTTGGAGCTTATCGATCCTCCGGTATTTAAAGGTTTCGTCCCAGGGCTCGTTTAGTACCGGGGCTCGTTTAGTACCAGGACTCGGTACCCACCACGAGTTACATGTACCACCGGGAGTTAGGACTTCTGTTTTTATAGACAGGAGGAATTTGCTTTTCATTGGACAGCATTCAGAGTTTTCTAAGTTCAACCCTGTGATCAGTTTTAATATCAGACAAGAGTCCGACTTCCAAAGACTTAAAGCCTGCTGGGATGTCAGCAGATCTTCAGCGTCCATCATGCTGAGCTGGTTGGACGTCGCTCCAACAGCAAAACATGTTTAAACTCGAAATGAACCAAAAGATAACCTGAGAGCTCACGAGTAAGAAAATAGAAGTTTCTTTCTCACTGAATCTGATGTTTAGATTCAGCTCTAGGTTTAACCCTGCAGAGACGTTGGTTTATTGATCGCTGTCAGCGTGAAAAGAGACTTTCTACAGAATAAACCTCGCAGTAGAACACCTTTGGACAACCGTCCACCTTCCCCAACGTGCTGCAGTCAGCAGCTGACACTCAGAGTTATATTTGGACGGACTGACGGTAACTTTGGCTGCTGCTAATGTTCTGTAATGCTGCTCTAATGGGATCTGGATGTTTGAGCTGCTTACATCAGCCGGTTTCCTCCTTCAAACGCTCCCACACGGCGTTTGTATTCTGACTTTTTCTATAACTGACCGTAGACTCAAACTCTGAACATCTACAGACACAACTTTATAAATGCTGCACGTCTTTCAGATTTTTTAAAATGAATTTTTTGGAAACATCAACATTGTCCTTTAGAAACTGACAAGGATTTGTTTAAAACACATATTTATTTATGGATATAAATGTAAAAATAAATGATGATGGAAAGACAGAAAAAACAGACAATAATAGTAGTAGTCATGATAATAATGATAAAATAAGGAATTTAAAAACTAAAATAAAAAATGTGTGTATATATAATAAAAAATAAATTAAATGCTCTATTTTCTTATTTACTGCAGTACCATCAGGGTTTTTACAGAGGTTTCATTTAATTCACCACCAGAGTTTTTATTCCTCAATTACTAATTTCTAAAAGATTTATTCTGGGGGATCAGAACACTGTAGTTCCATCCAGACCTGTAACCGACCTGAATCCTGACTCTGCTCCCCAGCGGATGCAGCTGGACATCATCCTGACCAGCCTCCAGGACCACACCCACGTGGCCTCCCTGCTGGGCTACAGCTGCCCCGCCGACGGGCCCGAGGGTCTGTCCTCCGGCCCGGCCTTCACGGTGCCTCCGGACCCGGCCTACGGCGCCACGACGGGCCACCCAGACACCCACCTGGCCGAGATCCTGATGAAGACGCTGCTCAGGAACCTGGGCTTCTACACCGTGAGTAGATCATCAGACTGTTAGAGTTTAATGAAGCAAAAGTGGATGGAGGAGAGTTAAAGAGACTCTAAAGGGGTCAGTCCATCTAAAACATGGATGTTTCTAATAATAAATGACACCCAGGGGTTCGTTTGTAGTTTCCTGGACTCACAATAAACTGATACGAACATCAGGAAGACGCACTGCAGTCTTCAGGTTCTGTTAAGTTCTGTTTTCTACTTTGTAATGCATTTTATCTGAACTTTTATTTGTTGTAATGGTTCTTTTAAGATCTTGTTTTAAACAAACAAACAAACAAACAAACAAAAAAACAGGAAAGGGGCTGTTTCATCTTAAATCATCAAATCATCTGCTTCACCATCTCAGATTTTTAATTTTAATTTTAATTTATTTTGGCTGTATTATGATTTATAGATATTTAGAATTATATCTGTAAAAAATAGAATTTTTATATTCAGTTTAATTTAAAAACAAAAGCAAAACATTTCAATCATTTCACTTTGAGCATGTTGAAAGGCTTCTTTTTTTTTTTTTTTTAAATCTCAGAAATGATTTTGTTTAAAAAGCTAAATTTAAAAAAAAAAAAAAAAAAAAACCTTAATAAATACGCAAATTTTACACCATAAAAATTTCAAGCCAATCACAGATGGGAATTGTTCTTGGATGACTACAGATGGAACGAGCCAAAGAAAAGTTGTTTTCACTTTATTTCATTGAACTTTTTTGTAGTTTTTGGGTATTAAAGTGACTCCTGAGGCGTCTTTACGACCCGTTTCAGATGCCAGACTTCACTAACGGAGGAATCAGATCGTCTCTGGTCCGTTTGAGTCTGACTCGTATCGTCCTTCACAAACATCACCGGCTGCTTTTCCTCTTCCCGGCAGCTCAGTGTTTTGTTGCTGCGGCTCTCAGGACGCCGGTTTATTGATTGTTAAAACACTCGAGCTGCTTCTGAGCGACTCTGACGATCAGACTGCAAAGCTTCTGAGTCACTGCTGCCGAGATTTTACTCTGCAGCAGAATCACGGACGGATAAGTCACATTCAGATAAAAAACAGCAGCAGTCAGACTGAATACATTCTGGTGATTTAAATGTGAAGTTTTCAGATGAAGCTGGAAATAGAAGAAAAACAAGTCGAATGTTCATAAGTTACAGCAACGTCTTTCCTCTGAAACTACTGTTAAAGAGGTTACATGGATGACTTTTCCTCTACAAGCTGATTTTGAGAAAACCAGGGTTTCCTACGAGCAGATTTGTCCTTGTTGGACCCTGTTTTGGTCGATCAGAAGGTCCCTGGTGGTTTCAGATTCGATGATTTCATTGAGACGACTCCTCTGTGTGCGTTCGTGTTGCAGGATCAGGCGTTCGGCGAGCTGGAGAAGAACAGCGACAAACTGCAGCAGGGAACGTCGTCGTCCGACAGCAGCCAGCCGGCTCATCTCCACCAGCTGCTGTGTTCGCTGCAGAAGCAGCTGCTGGCCTACTGTCACATCAACTCCGTCACCGAGGTACCGACGCACCAGCGCTGGGTTTAACACCTGAGAAACAAGCGTTTACCGGGTCAGGAGGAGTAGACGTGGTGCTTTAAATGTCTCAGTGGGATCATGTTCGACTACAACAGGTTGATGATGTGATTACAGAACCTCTCTGACAGAGCTGTAAAATGACGTCTAGCTGCCGTCTGAGCTGGATGTCAGTGGAAAGTCTGCAGCGAGCCACAGGACATGCTGGTGGACTGGAATCAGCCACCAGTCCGTCTGCATTTGAATTCATTTCAGGGCGTTTAAGTCTTTCTGAAGCATCACAAAAGAGCTCATGATTAGTAGGGATGCAGTGAACCAGAGGGAATCCTGGTCCACTTCTGAAACCACTGACCTGCAAACAGAGAATCAGCAGCTCATCTGTGTGCCGTTGTGTCAGCTTCATCCAGCTTCAATAAATGGTAAATCTACGTAACCGGCTGGTGTCAGATTAAATCACTGTCACTTGGTTCTGCTTTACTGGACTGATCAGAACAGAGCAGCTGCACACATTCATCTGATCAGTGACAACACTGCTATCAACTGATTTCCTATTTTGTGAATATTTTACACCTTTCTTTGTTGATTCTGCATCTTGTAGTAATTCCACTTTTTTGTGTTGATTGTTTTGTGAGGACTATTTTGGTGTCCAGGTCTTTTTCTACTGTCCGTTAAAAGGATAAAACAAACTGGGAACAGAGGAGCTGCACACATTCATCTGATCATGTGGGGACTCCAGAACCAGAACTATTGAGGAATAAAACCTGTTTCTAGATGATCTAGTATATTTGGACATT